TGGAACAATGTCAGCTCGCACGGCAGGCGGATGAAGAGTTAATCCGCAGGTTACAGTCAGAGTGTGGCGAATTGAGAGCGCAACGTGCTGAAGCCGAATCGCAATTAGTGATACTTGAAGAGGATCGCAGGAAGGAGGCGGATCGCACGAAGGTGGAGACGGCGAGGCGAGTCGCCCACTGTCTCAAGGGCTACGCCCACTGGGAAGTGAAGGCGCAGGAGAAACTCACACTGCGTGAGTTTGAATTGCGCGCAGCCGGGTTGTTGTCAGGCGACAGTAGGAGTCGGCGGAAGGTAGCATAGAAGCTCGATGCCTTTCTGTCGAAGGCACAGGATACCATGTCCGCCCTCGAAGGGGAGGTGTCCGCGGCGTTGCAGCGTTTGGGACTGCGCAGTCGAGCGGAAGATTGGCAGGGTAGGGAGTTAGTGCGCGGCAGTCGGCCGCGCAGGAGACGTAGTACAGGTTCCGCGGAGTGTAGTGTAGCGTGGTTCCGTGCAGGCGTGTAGCGTAGTGCAGTGTAGTGCTAGGTAGGACTTAGAAGGTATAAAATTGTTCCAGGCGTTTTGCCTGGGGTTCTTTCCCATCAGAAGTGCAGATCAGGAACCCATTTCCTTTGCGTGTTTGTGTCCTTGAGTTCTGTCACCACGCACGAGGAGTTACAACTTAGCGTTCCGCATTTTGTAGCTGAAGGCCTTCGGCCGAATGTTCAGAGCTAGTACATTGGTTAGAGACTTGAGTAGTTCGGATCTACACCTGCGGGTGATTGCCGATGCTCAGAGCCAGTGACTAGTTAGATACTTGAACAGTTTCGCCCCTACACCTTCGAGTGTTTCTTTCTGATTGTACTCCTTTGGGATTTTTCCCCTGAATGCCAAAGTGAAGTTTTGCTACTTCGTGTAAGCCTTGGTTGTAAATTCAGGTTACGCTGCAGCAGGTGCCTTGAGGGTAACCCCTGTAGTATTTCTGGGAATGACAAGTGCCTGAGAATTCAAACTCTTCAATAGACTGTTGTTGTGTTACTGGAATGTTTCACAGTGAGTCCTTCAGTGTGGACCTGTGTTCTCTGCGCGTTTTGTGAGTTGAGAGTGTTGTTCACCGCGTCTGAGTGACTTCGATCCGAAGTAGGCAGTCCAAACCGGGTTTCCTACACTAGCAGCAAGCTAGTGGAAGTGTTGTAAAAGCCGGAGTTGGAAGTCACTGCCCGCAGCTTTGCCGAGTGTGCTCGCGAGAGACTTTCCCCCTAAAATCCTGAAGTAGAGGTCCTAACGGATCTCTGGGTTGTGTTTCTGTAGTTTCAGGTGTGTGTGTGTGTGTGTTACGCTGCACTGTGCGACCTCCGAGTGCGCTCCGAGTGGACACTTGCAGTATTTCTGGGAGTGACAGTCGCCTGAGAATTCAAACTCATCAATAGTCTGTTAAACGTGACACTTTGTACCCTGTGTGTTCCTCTGTCCCTGTGGGTTCGACCTTTCTACCACTATATTGCAGTTTTAGCCTTTAGTGGGTTATTACACAGGTGTGTGTGTGTGTGTGTGTGTGTTACGCTGCACTGTGCGACCTCCGAGTGCGCTCCGAGTGGACACTTGCAGTATTTCTGGGAGTGACAGTCGCCTGAGAATTCAAACTCCTCAATAGTCTGTTAAATGTGACACTTTGTACCCTATGTGTTCCTCTGTCCATGTGGGTTCGACCTTTCTACCACTATATTGCAGTTTTAGCCTTTAGTGGGTTATTACACAAGAGCAACAAGTCTAGCAAGAACGGGTACAAGACCCGGGACTACAAGGATCGCTACCGCAGAAATGTCGCGGTAGCACTTATTCAACTCTTGCAGCCGCACAGGACCACCTACATAACTTCTTGGCAGGTGGCATTCGTGGAGCTGGCGTTGGCCGGAGCTCCGATTCATTGGGCTCGCATTTTGTGGAAGATAACGAGGCAGCATGCGTTCGAGGAGAAGGGAGGATCGATCAATCAACTCTTCCCCTTCTTGATCAATTTCTATCGGTCAATGGGTTGTCTGACCACGACCGAGCGGGTGCAATTTCCATTGCTGTCACGCAGCAATCCGGGGCGGTATATGAAGGACGTCGAGGTCGACACCGACGAAGATGAGACCCCTGCCTGCACGCCACCAGCCCAACCGAGGGCCGAAGGAGAATCGCTCGCAGCACGAGTGCCGCGGAAGCGATGATGGGAAGGAGGAGCAGAGAAGGGTCAGCAACGCAAGGCTGCTGCTCTCAAACGGAAGCGGCCACTGACACAGCTCTACAGTCGGCCTAAGCAAAAGGCACACAGGCTCGTGTTGCCTGCAAGCAGCGCGGAGACGGGGCATGCTGCAGAGGGAAGGAACTCACCATCCTCGGAGGAGGATGGGAGCGCCCGGACTGCAAAGAGCTCAGCGGACCTCCCTGCGCCAAAGGCACGGACGCCTTCGGCGAAAGCAAGACGGCCTTCGGGTCAGGAGAAACAACACGCGGCACCGACGAATGTGCCGGCGGCGGATAGGTGCTTCGCGTCCGAGCAAGTACCGTTCGATGACTCGACCTCGGGTCAAGAGCCTTCGGCGCCGCAGAAAAGTAGGAAGGAGCCTTCGGGTAAGGCGCCTTCGGCTCAAGAGCCTTTGGCCGAAGAGCTTCCGGGTAAGGAACCTTCGGGGCAAGAGCCTTCGGCTGAAGCGCCTTCCGCTCAAGGGCCTTCGGCCCAAGGAACTTCGGGTCAACGGCCTTCGGCGGTAGCACCTTCGGCATAGATCCCATGCGAGAGGACGATCGACGAGGACAAGGAGGAGGCACGTGTGCCTTCGGCTCAATCGCCTTCGGCGCTGCGCTTTTGGTAGTGACAGAACAGGCGGGCGGTGCGGGCTTGTCGGGAACAGGATCCTCCACCACATTAGACATTTTGGCAGGGAGTAGTGCGGCGGCTACAGCAGCAGAAGCTACGCAACCCAACTCCTGGGAATCGCCAGTGAATTCCGTGGCGACCGAAATCCTCAATTCGGAGGATGACAAAGACGAATCGGGCTCAGATGAGGAGGAGGAGCAGTCGGTGAAAGGCACGCCGACGACGGCACAATGCGAACAAGTGGTACCTCTGTTGAGGTACCTAGATCACAAGGTGGCAAAGTATGCAAACCCCCGCCACCTTGGGTCCTACGTCGAATTGGTGCGCAGGCGAACGCGCACCAAAGTCAGGACTAGTAGCTTGTTGGCCTCCTTAGACGAGGACATCAAAGACCTGCAGATGAAGAACGAGGCCCTCCGCGGACACCTCGCAATCGTGCGGAAATTGCAGAAGGTAGTTAACCAGACACGGGACGAGAAGTTCGAGGAGGCGAAGAAGGAATTCGCCAAGCAGTAGACGAAGCTCGCGGATGAGCTCGATTCTGAGCAAACTCAGAATCGCATCTTGTAAGAGGAGCTCGTGTGACAGACACGGTTACTAGAGCAGTGTCAGCTCGCACGTGGATGAAGACTTAATTTGTCAACTGCAATCGCAATGCGGCAAATTGAGAGCGCAGCGTGCGGAGGCAGAGTTGCAACTGGTAGTAGTTGAAGACGATCACCAGCGGGAGGCAAATCGCACGAGAGAAGAGTTGGTGGAACGTGTGAACCACTGTCTCAGAGGTTACACTTTTTGGGAAGTGGCTGCGCAGGAGAAAATCACATTATGCGAATTAGAGCTTCGTGCGGCGGGCTTGATGTCGGGTGACAGTCGGAGCCGATGGCGAGTGGCGAAGCGACTAGATGCCTTCCTGGCAAGGTCGAGGGACGCCATTGCGAACCTCGAGGCGGAGATGACTGCGGTGTTGAGGCGGCTGGGGTTGCGCAGGAGACATAGTAGATGACCTACAGTGTAGTGCAATGTACTGCAGCATAGTGTAGTGTAGAGTGTTAGCTAGGATTGTAGAAGGTATAAAGTAGTTCAAGGCGTCTTGCCTTGGGATTCTTCCAGTTTCGGAAGTGTAGATTAGGAACTTATTTTCTTTGCGTGTTTGTGTCCTTAGTTCTGTCACCGCGCAAGAGGAGCTACAGCTGGACAAAGATAGCGCATTTTGTAGCTGAAGGCCTTCGGCCGAATGTTCAGAGCTAGTGTACTGGTTAGATACTTGAGCAGTTTGGATCTACACCTGCGGGTGATTGCTGAATGCCTAGAGCTAGTAATTGGTTAAATACTTGAGCCGTTCGTCCTTACACCTTCGGGTGATTGTTCTTGGTTGTACTCCTTCGGGATGTTTCCCCTGAATGCCAAAGTGAAGTTTTGTTACTTCGAGTAAGCCTTGGTTGTAATTCAGGTTACGTTGCGGAAGGCACCCTCAGGGCAAACCTCTGTCTGCAGAAGGCCCCCTCGGGGCAAACCTCTGTAGTATTTCTGGGAATGACTAGTGCTTGAGAATTCAAACTCGTCAATAGACTGTTATGGTGTGCCACTAGATCTTTTCTCAGTTCAGTTTCTCAGTTCGGACCTGTATTCTCTGCGCGTTTTGTGAGTTGAGTGTGTTGTTCACCGCGTGTGAGTGACTTCGGTTTGACGAAGATACCGCATCCGAAGTAGAAAGTCCAACCCGGGTGGTCTGTGCTAGCAGAAACTAGTGGAAGGGTTGTAAAAGCCGGAGTTGGGAGTCACTACCTGCAGATTCGCTGAATGTACTCGTGAGAGACTTTCCCCTGAAATCTTAAGTAGAGGTCCTAACCGACCTCTGAGTTGTGTTTCTATAGTTTCAGGTGTGTGTTGGGGTGAACTACGCTGCACTGTGCGTCCTCCGAATGACCTCCGAGTTGAGCACTTGCAGTATTTATGCGAGTGACAGTCGCCTGAGAATTCAAACATTTCAATAGTCTGTTAAACGTGACACTTTGTACTCTGTGTGTTGCCTCTGCCCCTCTGGGTTCGACCTTTTGCTGCTATACTGGGGTTTTAGCCTTTGGTGGGTTATTACAATGGGATATGTTATCATCTGGGGCTTATTCAACCAATTCATCGGCGGTCACTACACCAACTACGTCAGAGCGCTTCTTTACTGCGTTGCGATGTTCTTGGCCGTGTGCAGATGCGGAGGAGCTGTGATGTACTTCTGGGATCGAAGCCTCAAGAACACGAATCTCAAAGGTAGCACTCAGGATCTCGTTAACAGTATGCCCCCATCGCCTGTCAAGGATGGCCATGCCCTTCAGGCTGGCGGTGATCTCGAAAGTCTTGGTGCTTCTCCGAGAACCCCTTGGCGAGGAGATGTTACTCTGGGCAGGAGACCAGACTGGCAAGGTGAGTTCACTCCTAATCCTAGTTGCTTCGCCGGAGCTCTGATTGAGACTGATTCAAATCCGCTTTGAAAAGCGGTATTCGCATTCGAGCACGTGCTCACATGACAAGCTGATGGCGTTGTTCAGGAATGTTTGGCGAGTTTGCCGAGCTATACAGAGGAAAGAACGTCGGAGTCCTGGTATCCGGTGGATCGAATATGCAAGAGGACGTCGCCGCCCGCTGTAAGCATGACAACAGCTTACAAGGCTCTGAAGTGGCGTTCCACTACCACTCCGTCAGCTTCGAGCTGTAAATCGTCGACACCTTTGGTGTGGAAGTAGAGATGTATCCTATTCAGTAGGAACCGAACCCCCCAACTGAGTGTCCAAGTTCAGAAACTAGGCACAAGCAGCAATCCCTATATTCCTATTGAGCCCATATTCCTATATTTCAGTATCTGATTCTTAGATTAATCAAATGGATTACTTCGAGCTGGTGGATGTAAAAATAATGTGGAAAGCTATTTCTGCCTAATGTAGAGCTACTCAGCAATTGTTGTTGCACTATCTGAGCATTAGACACCGGCACAGCCGCTTTTCAAAACCATAGAGCACCGTAAGCCCGTCGCCAAACTTCTGAAGCGTGTGATTTCGACAAGATCAGATGAGCTTGTGTATCATTTTGAAACCCAAAATCAGAAAAGAAAAAAAAACAAGCACAGTTTCTGTGCATGATCTTGAGAGAAATCAGAATCTTCTTACTTAAGTTCGATGGCGTGTGTGGCTATGGTAGATTCGTATATTTTCTAGACTCATATGTCATTCCATCTCAGTCCTTGTTTCCTGTGAGGACGACAAGCACAATGTGATGTTAATTGTAAGATCAGCGCGCTCACTAATTTCAAGGACGGTCCATTATTCCATACCATGCAATAATATGTCTGCATATTAGTCACCAAAAATTAGAGGCGTGCCAAACAGCCACGTGTTTCCAGCCGCCACGGCTACTTCGCCCTCCGTTGAAGGCTGTTGCTTTCAACTGAGGGCGAACGAGAATACATTCGAGTTTCAAATTTGACATAGGAATCAGAAAGGTCAGAGGCCGATAGAGTCGCGTCCTCCCCGACAAACTGTCAAGGAAATCTCGTGCGGACGTGACTGGTGGTGCGTTCTCCTGGTGCCGAGCAGTTTTTACGGAGCGAGAAGGTGCCAATTCTAGACAGCATCGACGCACGCCACCATAGCTCGTGTTGGGTCGCCTAATTTAGTCGGCGGGCTTTGATCTCTCTTGTCATTTCGATCTCGATCTCAGTGCTTGTCCGACGGTAAAGATGTGGAACACGCAAGAAGGTGAGCCCAGTGCTGGCACTCAGTTGCAACAAGAAGAGCGTACGGAGGAAGCTGGGGCGTTGAACTCTTCATCTGCAATTCACTCCGAGGGTTTTAAGGATGTCGCTCCAGCTGTTGAGGGAGAGTCCAGTGTAAGCAAGCAGGTGCGAAGTGAAAAAATTGATTCTCCTTCTGCAGCCGAATGTTTGCTTCGTCTGCAAGAGATCCCTGTGATATGTGATGTCAGCGATGCCAGAACAGTCTCGGAGGAAGATAACTCTGATGCCAGAACAGTCTTGGAGGAGGAAGATAATTCTGATGCCAGAACAGTCTCGGAGGAAGATAACTCTGATGCCAGAAAAGTCTCGGAGGAAGATAACTCTGATGCCAGAACAGTCTCGGAGGAAGATAACTCTGATGCCAGAACAGTCTCGGAGGAAGATAACTCTGTCTCGAATGATCTTGGAAACTCGCCAGTAGGACCAGAAACGCCTTCAAAAACTCCTTCGAATACTGTACCTGATACAGTGGAGCCTGCCGCATGTAAGAGAAGGCTCATCAGTTCCACTCGGGGTGAAGTCCATGAAGGGGAGAGCAGTACCTTTGGTCGATTGAGAGGTGAGAAGGTTATAGAGGACCAAGCTGCCCTTTCCCACGTCCTCGAGGTCGACAATACATGTCCAGTGGATTTGTCTGAGATAGAAACCCCTCGAAACCAAGTACTGGCGGCACTTCCTGAACAAGACCCCGAGCTTAGTCCACCTAAGAAGAAGATAATTCTTGAGGAGGAGGAGGAGTCATCCGCAATGTTGGTCTCTTCGGTGAGCTTTATAAGTTGCAACATACTAGACGGCCCTTCTTGGGGAGTGGCTTGTGCTGACGAAGAAGGAAGTCATGTGGACAACCAAGCCGTAGCCGTACCTACACTTCTGTCGTTACCCACCGATGACAACCAGTGCGATTCTCAAAGCACAAATCCTGGGCATCCGAGTGTTCATTATTTTGCAGTTTTTGACGGTAACGGAGACTCCGTTGCCGCCGATTTGTGTAAAGGCCGCCTTCATGAGATCGTTGCTGAAGAAGTCAAGAGACAGCTGGATGAAGACGAAGAAGACTGTCATCCCCTTTTTTGTTACTATAAGTTTTTCTGTGAGCCAATTCAGAGAGGCATCAGGAACAGTTTTTTAAGGATGCATGATGAGGTTGTAAGTTACCGCCTGGAAGATGATGAGTTACCTGATCCGATGGAGTTACCGATTATGAGAGGTGCGTCAGCTACAGTGGCCATCGTTACCACTTGTAGAATCCTCGTTGCAAATTGTGGGAATGCCCGCGTCGTGCTATCTAAAGGAGGGAAAGTTATTCAGATCTCCAACGACCATATACTCGACCGGGATGATGAAAAGGTTCGGCTACGAGGACTTGGATTTCCTATTGGAGATCTAAGTACCGTGACTCGATCTCTTGGCTGTCGTCGTGTGCATGATGATAATACTCCAATTTACTTGATCCCAGAGCCAGAGTTTACTTTCGAAATGCGGAGCAAGGATGACGAATGCCTCATAATTGCCAGTCACGGCCTGTGGAAAGTCATATCCAACGAGGTTGCATGTGAGGTTGTTCGCACGTTTCTGGCGATGGGGGCTACTGCAGAGACAACGGCCATCTTTCTGGCGCAGATGGCCAAAGAGAGCCGTGCTGAAGGTGCAGAAAGTTTTTCAGAATCTGTGATTGTTGTAGACCTCCGGCCTGGCAAGGTACAAAATGGACAAGATGAGTCTGCGATGGACTATTTTGAAGGCACTACTGCTACATTTTTCGAGGGTAGGTTAAGGTCACCACTCCTTGAGCTTCGAGCTGTAAATCGTCGAAGTGGAAGCAAAGATGTATCCTATTTCAGTAGGAACCGACCCCCCAACTGAGTGTCCAAGTTCAGAAACTAGGGTCACAAGCAGCAAACCCTTTATTCCTATTGAGCATTATCTTGAGTGGAATCAGAATCTTCTTATTTAAGTTCGAAGGCGTGTGTGGCTATGGTAGAATCGTATCTTTTCTAGACTCAGATGTAATTCCATCTCAGTCCTTGTTTCCTGTGAGGACGAGAAGCACATGTGATGTTAATTGTAAGATCAGCGCTCTCACGAGTTTCAAGGACGATCCTACCTCAAGCTGTTTCGGACATTGTATACATGATGTACTTCTCATTGTCGCTGGAATTCTTATGAAAACCATTGGCTTTCAACGAGTCGAATGTTTTATGTTGTATCACATGATTCCGGTTTGATATACAAGATTTCAGAAGAGTGTTTATTGTATCTTCATTTCTGGGTCCGCAACGCGTATATTGCCATTTGAAACGGAAGCACATGGTAGATATTGCATGAAATTCTGTTACGGATACTGTACAGTGAATTGATATTCAATGGAATTGATGAAATTGGTGATTTCGTGCCGCCTCCGGGAGTGACGGAGCAACAGGTTACAACGGGCTAAGGAGCCGTGGCGGCTGGAAACACTCGTCCGTGCCTACGCGCAGGTGAATTCTGTCCGCCTATGCGTAGGAGAAATTCTCTCCGCCTGTGCGTAGGCAAAATTCTCGGCGGACTTCTCGCCGACGACGAACGAACTCCCTATGCGTAGGCGCTCGTCTTCGTATCTTTCGACCATCACAACTCCTTGAGTCCTCATCCGTTCCAGGCGTTCTTGGGCTCGTTAGAGCGAGCGCGTTGAGCTCTTTCCAACTAGACCCTAACCAAGTCAAGGCGTTGTGAATTGTATAAGCTCTGAGGGATTCCCCTAGCGCCAAAAACTTATCGTCGAAGGCGGATTATGCGCCTTGCGCCAAAGGAGAACTCCTTCAGAATCGATCGTTCAGGTCGGGCGCCTGTTCCGGACATTGCGCCCAACTTCTGGATCCTACGAGATACTGCGAGATCCGCGATTATCTATTTTCATTATATTTAAATGTACCGATCACCATTTACACGGCTGCTGCGGTACTGTTTTCCAAAATTGTTTTAAATTCCGCAAGAAAGCAAAAACTGGGTAACCACAGTGACAGCAGCGGATATTGAACACGTTCGGTCGCGGTTAAGCAACCCATTGACCGATAAAAGTTTATCAAGAAGGGGGAGAGATGATTGATCGATATCCCTTCTCATCAAACGCATGCTGTCGCGTAATCTTCCACAAGATGCGCGACCAGTGAATCGGAGCTCCGGCCAACGCCAGCTCCACGAAAGACACTTGCCAAGAAGTGATGTATGTAGTCCTGTGCGGCTGCAAGAGTTGGAGAAGTGCTACCGCGACATTTCTGCGGTAGCGATCGTTGTAGTCTCGGGTCCTGTACCCGTTTTTGCTGGACTTTTCACTTTTGAACAAGGTCGCGAAGGAAATCTCTTCCTCCTTCGTCACCTTGATGCTCTCACTATCAAAGATGAAGTACCCGTCCTCGCCCGCACATCTTCCCAGTACTTGTCCCCAATCTTGGATGGTCCAACGCTCTTCGTGCGGTCGAAACCCGCGCGTAGGTTGATGTCTCTCCCTTTGCCATTCGCGCACCATGTTCTAGCACACGTAATTCCATCCCCACAAGAGGAAATCGAGCTTCACCGCAAACAGCCGGTCCTGGAAAGCGCGCAACCCAATCTGCGGGATCTTTAGCGGAATCATCCGCAGCTGAGTGGGTTTCGACATTGCGTTCTTGAAATCGGATTTCGTAAACTCTCCTTCGTTATGCCCACGCTTCTTGCCCGCGACTGTGAGTACTCTGCGAACTCTAATCTCTCTTAATTCCGACGGTCGCACACTCAATTCTCTCTCTCTCAACTCGCGAGTCTCTGCGCGTCGCCTTCTCAAATTTCTCTCTGCCAAAATGTGTGCGCGCGCAGCTCTCACAAGAAATTGAAATCGCAAAATCAGGAATGAGTTGTCCGCCCTTGGTTCACATGATGTCATTGTCGACACTTGGTCGTGATGGTCGACTCGCTTGATGGCTGTGCCGGCTTGGAGGCGTAACGGCCCTCCTCTCGCATGCGCGGCTTCACGCTCCGCCGTCGCGCGGACTCACACGCTCAAAAATTCAATTTGATTTCCGCCATCGTACTTCGCCGCAGCCATGTTCGCGCAGCGCCGAAGGCGTATCGCCGAAGGCGCGGCGGCGAAGGCTTTTGCCTCTGGCCGACTCGCAACTCGTATCCATCCCGCACCGCCGGAGGCGTTCCGCCGAAGGCGTTGACCCGCAGCGTCGAAGGCGTTGACTCCCATCGCCGAAGGCGAAATCCTTGAAGACGTCCGTCGGCGTAGGTGCATCGTCAAAGGCGCAGCGCCGAATGCGGCTGTGCCGAAGGCGTTGACCGTGGTCAACTGATCTTGTCTTGTCTGTCGATCTCTCTTGTCCCTCCGAAGGCGCTCTTGCCGCCGGAGCTTTGTCCCGCCGCAGGCGCACATGTCCGTCCCGCCGAAGGCATTGGGCCGAAGGCGGACCGTACGGAGTTGCTACCCCCGAAGGCACTTCTAGGGCCGAAGGCGGATCTTCCGCCGAAGGCGAACTCCTTCTGCCGAAGGCGAATTTTCCGGCGGACTTACCGCCGAAGGCGAACTCCTTCCGCCGTAGGCGTCCGTCTACGTATCTTCCGATGATCATAACTCCTTGAGTCCTCATCCGTTCCAAGCGTTCTTGGGCTCGTTAGAACGAGCGTGTCGAGCCCTTTCCAACGAGACCCTAATCAAGTCAATGCGTTGTGAATTGCATAAGCTCTGAGGGATTTCCCTAGCGCCGAAGGCATATCGCCGAAGGCGGATTATGCGCCTTGCGCCGAAGGAGATCTTCTTCAAAATTGATCATTCAGGTCAGAGCGCCTGCTCCATACATTGTGTGCAACTCCTGGATTCTACGAGATCATACGAGACCCGCGATTATCCATCTTCACTCTATTTAATTGTACCAATTACCATTTACACGGATGCTGCGATACTGTTTTCCAAAAATATTTTAAATTCCGCACAAAAACAAAAAATGGGTTACCACAAAAAAATTTTAATTAATAATTTTATTTATAATTTTCTTCAAAAATAATTTTGGAAGTGGATGAAAATTTCTCAATAGTTTGAGAGTATCATTTGATTTTCAAAAAAAAATCAAGTTATAAATTTGTTTTTCTAATTTTAAAAAATACGTAAATCATAAATATTTGTTTATATGTAATTTTTTGAACATGAAATTTCCAATCTTGTGTTGAAAATGCTCTTGCTCAACCGTTGTACATCAAAATGTAAGCCCAAAACTTTTATATCATTTAAATATTTCATTCAATTCACAAAGAAATGTAAAGTGAAGTGAATAAAATAATCAAGTTTATGCAAAAGAGAGGAAGTTTCAACATTTCAGATATGAGAACTAGCAAGCACTATCTAAAAAAGGATATAATATAAGGCCAATATAGAGAAAAAGTTATCTGCATGAAATAAGCTAAATTGTAAAGCACCTCATATTGATTTTTTTTATGTTTGCAATTTTATTAATTCTTTACTGATTTCAAATCTTAAAAAAGGTTTATGGATGAAACAAAAGAGAAATCAGATTTCCTGAGAGTGAGATTTCACTAAATAATGACCAAAATTATCAGTTTAAGATTAACATAAAACTCATAATAATATTGCTTATTATTTGTGATTTGCAAGTGATGTTATAATTGCAATCACTCTAAACATCTCAAAGGGACTAATCCAAGTCTTTCACAATCTATATTTCAAATCTTCTAAAAAACATCTAAAGTTTAATTATTATCAAGGTCAAAATATCATTCTTGAAAATTTTGGATTAAAAAACACTTGAAATAATATAAAAGAAAAGATACAGATTATTTCACTTCCTTATATCAATTTAGATGACTTACTCAGATGTTTGTACTCTTTATGTGTTTTAGAGTGAAGAACACATGTTTGACATTCGAGGGCTTGTGATTTTGTTGAAGACAAATCCTGAGGAAGATAAAATACACACAAAATTTGTCAATGTTCTACCTTTACAGCTATTGGCTATAGAGATATTTGTTGGTAAAGTTCTTGAAAGTTAGTCATGAGGAGTAGAAGAGTAATTCTTTAGCTTTTTATATGGTGCATCAACAAGAACAATCTGGCGTTGAAGTAAAAGAAAAATTTTCACTATTTCATGCAAATCAAGAATATCAAGAAACGATGAAATGAAATAATTCATCAAGCTCAAGAAATTAGTCAGTCCTTTCAGCAGTTCTGATATGATCAAGGAAAAATATCAAATTGGGATGATTAGTCCGAATGATTATGAATTAAATGAGTTGCTCATGAGCATAAGATGTCACAATTTATGGTGGGCATATGCATAACGATATTGGTACAATTTTTGAAATTGTTTTAGATATGAAATCATTAATAGTTTTACATTAATGTTGTTGATGCCAATATGATCTCACAAATAAAACAACATTCTTTTTTCTCAAAAAGTATGAATACCACTCCTTATGCAGACATATTATTCCATAACATGCAATAATATGTCTGCATATTATTGGCACCAAAAGTTAGAGGCGTGCCAAACGGCCACGTGTCTCCAGCCGCCACGGCTCCTTCACCCTCCGGCTCCTCCGCCCTGATGGCGTTGTTCAGGAATGTTTGGCGAGTTTGCCGAGCTATACAGAGGAAAGAACGTCGGAGTCCTGGTATCCGGTGGATCGAAGATGCAAGAGGACGTCGCCGCCCGCTGTAAGCATGACAACAGCTTACAAGGCTCTGAAGTGGCGTTCCACTACCACTCCGTCAGCTTCGAGCTGTAAATCGTCGACACCTTTGGTGTGGAAGTAGAGATGTATCCTATTCAGTAGGAACCGACCCCCCCAAACTGAGTGTCCAAGTTCAGAAACTAGTCACAACCAGCAAACCCTATATTCCTATTGAGCCCATATCCCTATATTTCAGTATCTGATTCTTAGATTGATCAAATGGATTACGTCGAGCTTGTGGATGTAAAAATAATGTGGAAAGCCATTTCTGCCCAATGTAGAGCTACTCAGCAAATGTTGTTGCACTATCTGAGCATTAGACACCGGCACAGCCGCTTTTCAAAACCATAGAGCACCGTAAGCCCGTCGCCAAACTTCTGAAGCGTGTGATTTCGACAAGATCAGATGAACTTGTGTATCATTTTGAAACCAAAAATCAGAAAAGAAATAAAAAACAGCACAGTTTCTGTGCATGATCTTGAGAGAAATCAGAATCTTCTTACTTAAGTTCGATGGCGTGTGTGGCTATGGTAGAATCGTATATTTTCTAGACTCATATGTCATTCCATCTCAGTCCTTGTTTCCTGTGAGGACGACAACCACAATGTGATGTTAATTGTAAGATCAGCGCGCTCACTAATTTCAAGGACGGTCCATTATTCCATACCATGCAATAATATGTCTGCAGATTAGACACCAAAAATTAGAGCCGTGCCCAAACGGCCACGTGTCTCCAGCCGCCACGGCTCCTTCGCACCCGGTTGAAAGCCGTTGCTCCGTCACTATGGGAGGCGGCACGAAACAAACCAAATCGAGAATACATTCCAGTTTCAAATTTGACATAGGAATCAGAAAGGTCAGAGGCCGATGGAGTCGCGTCCTCCCCGACAAACCGTCTCAGAAAATTTCGTGCGGACGTCTGTCATGCCCTTGTCATGGTGCCGAGGACGTTTTTATGGAGCGAGAAGGTGCCAGTTCTAGACCGCCTCGAAGGCAAGAGAGATCGAAGGCGATCGCCTAATTTAGTCGATCGCCTTTGATCTCTCTTGTCATCTCGATCTCGTCGCTTGGTCGCTTGTCCGACGCTAAGGATGTCGCTCCAGCTGTTGAGGGAGAGTCCAGTGTAAGCAAGCAGGTGCGAAGTGAAAAGATCGATTCTCCTTCTGCAGCCGAATGTTTGCTCCGTGTGATATGTGATGTCAGCGATGCCAGAACAGTCTCGGAGGAGGTTAAAAAGGACCAAGCTGCCCTTTTCCACGTCCTCGAGGTCGACGATACATGTCCAGTGGATTTGTCTGAGACAGAAACCCGTCGAAACCAAGTACTGGCGGCACTTCCTGAACACGTAAGAAGAAGATAATTCTTGAGGACGAGGAGGAGGAGGAGGATTCATCCGCAATGTTGGTCTCTTCGGTGAGCTTTATAAGTTGCAACATACTAGACGGCCCTTCTTGGGGAGTGGCTTGTGCTGACGAAGATGGAAGTGATATGGACAACCAAGCCGTAGCCGTATCTAAACTTCTGTCGCTACCCACCGATGACAACCAGTGCGATTGTCAATCCTGCACAAATCCTGCGCATCCGAGCGTTCATTATTTTGGAAGTATTGATGGTCATGGAGATTCCGTTGCGGCAGGTTTGTGGAAAGGACGCCTTCATGAGATCGTTGCTGAAGAAGTCAAGAGAGAGCTGGAGCAACAAAATTTTGCGATACTTGAGGGATATGGAGACTACGTCTTCGGAGATTTGAGTAAAGGCTGCCTTCATGACATCGTTGACAACAGAGAGCTGGATGAAGACGAAGAAGACTGTCATCTCCCATATTGTCACTATTATTCTTTTGGCACCCTGATTCTGAGAGGCCTCAGGAACAGTTTCGGAAGGATGCATGATGAGGTTGGAAGTTACCGCCCGGAAGATGATGAGTTCTCTGATCCGATGGAGTTACCGATTATGAGAGGTGCGTCAGCTACAGTGGCCATCGTCACCACTTGTAGAATCCTCGTTGCAAATTGTGGAGATGCCCGCGTCGTGCTATCTAAAGGAGGGAAAGTTATTCAGATGTCTTATGACCATATACTCGACCGGGATGATGAGCCAGAGTTTTTTTTCAAAATGCGTAGCAAGGATGACGAATGCCTCATAATTGCCAGTCACGGCCTGTGGAAAGTCATATCCAACGAGGTTGCATGTCAGGTTGCTCGCACGTTTCTGGCGATGGGGGCTACTGCAGAGACAACGGCCATCTGTCTGGCGCAGATGGCCAAAGAGAGCCGTGCTGAAGGTGCAGAAAGTTTTTCAGAATCTGTGATTGTTGTAGACCTCCGGCCTAGCAATATACAAAATGGACAAGATGAGTCTGCGATGGACTATTTTGACGGCACCACGGATACATTTTTCTCAAGGATGTAGGTTACAGACGTAGTAGAATCATATAGTAGAACATACATCTATGTGATGTGCTAGATGAGAAGTATTAGCATTTAAGACTTCCAAAACTTTAGTGTGACTTGCCCCGGCAATATTTGTAACTCTCTACTCTCTATGTTACTATATACTTTCTACTACAATTTCCGCCAAATTGTCACGAGTCACTCACAAGCTACCACTTTTATTTCAAGGGTCGATGTTTTGCAGGCTGATGACGCTTGTCCTGTCTCCCAATTGTTATTCCATGTCTGAAGTGTCTCCTTCGTACCTAACCATGACACAGCAGCTGATGAACAGAGAAAGATGCACTTTCTTGGCGGAGATAACGAGTGCACTGGGTGAGGAGGCATAGTCAAGGTGAAGTGGCATTCTGTTACTGGTAGTCGTGATACGGCGAGTACAATACAGTGATCACTGACATGCGTCTCACTATGGAGCACTTTAGGGCCTAGATCTATATTAATCGTTTGATTTAACGATGAACGACTTGAGGGGACTGCCTATCCTTTTTGTTATCTGCTTGCTACATTCTACAAGAAGTTTGGACTGTACTGTGTGCTAGACAGTGTCACTTTGTCTCAGGCTTTCACGCCTCATTTTCTAACGATGCCCGTTCTTCTGCTTATTGTACTAAGAAATGATCGGTAGAGACTTAGCAGCAACTTTATTTCTTCTATAACCTACTGCTCTGTCCACTCACTAACTCACTAGTATGGCTTTTAATGCGAATCCTCGATACAATAAAGTAATGGTTTCCGTCTTGTGATAGACCTTGGGCACTGGACACGTCTGCATCTCTTCGGCAGCTAACAGAGTAACAAGGAATAGACATCATGCGTAAAAGGCAGACCAAGTAGGGAATGACAGTATCTTCACAACCTACACGTAATTCTAACAGATTACCAACTTACAGCGCCGGTCGCTTTACGCATATCTAGATTCATCCTGATTGAAAAACGCTCCAACCTCGTAGGTGGACTTGTCTCTGTACAGGGAGACTAACCTTCTGTCTCATGGTATCTTGACCCGACAAGCGTTTGTAGACGTCAATGGTTTGGAGTGTTTTGGTGCTAAACTATCCAGAGGTATTTACATGCTCTTCAATGTCAGCGAATCTGTACAAAGATTTACCTACACCGCTGCAGGTCCAGCTTGGACTTGAGGATTTGAAGAATGCACACGTGCCTGATTGATAGTAAAGTAGATGCAGAGGTACGGTAGACGTCACAACAGGTCTATGCTGTCGACAGCAACTAGACATGATCCATTGTAATCAGTTATGGTTGCGACGATCACTACTCCTCACACTTCATATCATGCAGGAGCATCTTTTCTGTGAAAATTTCGGTTCACTATGGCAGACTTGTGGACAACGAGAGTACATTCTGTGATAGGGAGAACTTTCAGACTAAGTACTGTGGTTTGAAGGTTTTTGGAATATACTACACAACGATGGGAGACATTATAAAATACGACAGCAAGCTGGCTGATCACCTGGAGGTCTGCTAGGGGCACCTGGAGGCTTAAGAGATGGTACACGTGGACCTACAGTGAGCAAAGATAAAATAGAAGTCAGAGACTCAAATCAAAACTCAATATGCCTCGCATGGTTTACACATCTCCCGATAAAACAATGCCAGAGATCTAAATTCGGCTCATCATCTGACAGAGTTAGAGCTAGACTCTGTCCACAAGGTACACGTTTCAGTTTGATGAGACCAGCCAACGTCACACGCTCACAGCTTGGTGTGCCACTTTTCAGACTCCGATTCAAACCTTCCCGAATGATGTGTATCAAAGTTAGCGAATCCAAGACCTCGAAGAACATTCAGGCTCATGTTCAGTTCTGGTGCTTTGAGTCTCTACTCCGTAAGTCTTTCACCGTTCATCTCATAAGCATTTTACGCCATGAAGGCTAGGTCAATGTGATGATGTGAATGAGAAGATACAAATATATAAATTTTCACGATGTGGGCAAAAGTGACGACAGTTGCTTCGCTCTCTGTCTGAAGGCTGTGATAATAGAACAATTTGGTATGTCACATGAGTTGTATGTTTCAGTCATCTGAATCAACTATTTCGTCGAAAGACTAAAATGGGTTCGAATCCCATCAAAAACCTTCGGTAGAATCAAAGACAAATCATTTTATACAGTTGAGGGTCGATCGAGTGAAACACCCAACAAACGGAAGAAAAGAAACTAAAAACAGTTGAAACACACAGATGACGGCACCACTGACGGCACCACCGGTAGCACTCGGCAGTGTGTATCTCACAATGCTCGTCCGTGTACAGAACTCGAAGGCTATCTGAGAGAAACTGCAAACTTCTGTGGTGCACCCCACACACTCTGACTGTCATGCCAAGGAGGCTTGGATCCGCTCGTGTCCTCACGACACCCCTTCTTCACCTCACACCATCAGGTATTTCCAAATCACGGAGCCAAAGCTCAGCTCACATTGTCCAAGTCAAACCTTTCCAATGACTGGCTACTTACAAATGAATGGTTGATTCACGTTCGCATCACTGCAGTACAAGCAGGGGTGTTGCGTAAATCCCTGCTTCTTCAGCAACTTGCGCACCTCAGTAACAAGCTCTCCATTAGTGATCGGCCCTCCCCTCTTGGCCAATATGGTCTGAATACCATTACTCAAAGCTCCATAAGCTTCTGCCTTGTTGCCAGTGGGATTGGCGTCTGCCGATGTTTCATTGGACATGCAGCCACTCACCAGCACGCCAGTCTCATCAGCCACCCGCTCTGTTGCATCTGGCTTCTTCCCGGCATGGCCCGAGAGATTCACTCCTGAAGAGGGCACATGATGAGCTGGTTTACTATCGTCTCCATCCAGCTTGGTCTTCAGAAAGTCCACTGCCAGACCGCCTATGGCACCCCAGATGCCATGACCACTACCACCACCACCACCACCCTCCGATGCTCCTTCACCTTGCTTTTTACCAGAGAGCTTTTCGGCGATGAAGTTCACAAAGACCTTGACGGTGGGGCTAGCATTATCTCCGAAGAGCTCGAAGAGACTGGTTCTGATTCCACCAGGTTTCACCTCGTGTCCTGTTTTCTGACTGAGCATCTCGGCCAGAGTTTCGATGGACAGGGACTTGTTGACGAAATCCACGGGTTCGCTGCGTTCAGATTCCTCCTCCTCCTCCTCGTCCCTGTGGTGATGCCTGTGGTGCCCGTGATGATGGCCGGAATCCGATTCACCTCGTCGACCAAACACTCCACCAAAGTCGAATCCTCTCTCTCCTCCTCTGGGGATTCCCATTCCCGTGGGGAAGTCGCGGTTTGCCGTTCCTCCTATTTGCTCCTTCTCGTGGTCGATGAGCCCCCCACTGTGACACGAATCGGAGATGAATGTGAAGTTCACTCCATCTTTTATATCCTTGAAAAGCACTCGAAAATCGTCGTCTGAATAAAAAGAAAGCACCGTGCACCGCAAGTCAGTCAATTAGTGCGAGAAGCTCATCAGATGACGATCACGCAGACAGTTCAACAACCATCAACTGCCACTCACACACTCCAGGACATCGGAGGGATCCATTGCCGCCAAGCCAGCGAGCTCGATGGATCATCGATCCATCGAGCTTGATCCAGTCAGTCAAACGCTCAGCTGGATATCAAGACTGAAATGATGGATCGTTCAAAGCTATCTTCAGCCTTGCATGTCCAATGTCCGGACGGACAAGACAGCCTGACACCATTCCTACGGCTTACTAAGAATCTAAGGCTTGGCACTAAAGATGAATCCGTGGGCTCTCGGCATCAGGCACTCAGAGCTGAGACAGCAGAGGGTTACAGATCAAACGAACTAGGCCATGTACAGGTCTGATGAGCGGAGAAAGTAGGGAGAGAGGAAACAGACCTGTCAGAAGGTTGAGATCACAGGGAACAATGGCCTCGTCATACCCGTCATCCTCCTCGTCGCCAGATTCGGCAGGCACCTGTGTACCATGGCCACTGTAATGCATGACCAGAACATCGCCAGGCTCGCTTTCATCTATCAGGCGTCGGAGGACCTTCTTTATGTTGACTCCCGTGGGCTGAACTGAGCGATTATCGGTGTCGATCATGACGGTGATATCCTCCTCGGCGAAGCCAAATTGATCCGTCAAGCACTTGTACATCCTCGATACGTCGTTGACACATCCATGAAGCTCAGCCTTCGTCCCGGGATAATTGCACCCGATGAGCAACGCCTTCTTCTTCATCTTCTCTCCTGCACCTGAATTCTAACCAAATCGAATAAGACTTCACCCAATTTCAGGCCTCCCTCACCAGCCAGCCAACAGAGACTACAACAGACAAATGTCAGACTGCGCGGACCTCATTTCTGATTCATTTCTGAGATCAGAAATGCTTATATCCTTGCTTCGCTTCCGATTCTACATTCGTACCTCGCCCACTCTGCCTCACTCACCAGCGGCATCTTCAAACAAGTCCCTCCGCAGCTAATCTACTTGAGCAAATCATCACACCACCCACACATACACACAATCTGACCCAAACAATCTGCCCAAAGCGTTCGCGTCACTCTGTCCGCCTCCGACACACCATCGCTGCCACTCGCAAAACTTCCGGCTCACTCAATCAATCATGCAACCTGACACACCCACTTACTTGCGCTCCTCTGCTCTCCTCTGCTCTCCTCCTCCTCCGCTGAGCCTTTGCGTGCGCAGCTCCGTCCTCGGCCTCCTGCTGCTGCTGCTCGATTCCTCGACGCTCTCCCAATCTTCGTCGTCCTCCTCCTGGCTTTCTACGGGAGAAGCGCACGCTTGCCTTTCGTTCCCCCCGGGTCGATGGCTGGCACTGGCCAGTGAGCGATGTGGCGCTCCGAGAGAGAGAGAGTTCGTTTGCTTACAGACACCACGACGCCTTAAGTCCGGCCTTCGGATCGCCTCGACTTAAGTTTGTGCTCGGACTTGGTCTCAAGTACAGTGCGGATCGGCCGAATCACCGGTGGACGGGCCCACTCTCTTTCCAATTGCCCATGGCCCGGTTGCGCTTCCGAGTATCTGCATATCTGTATTGTGCTTAACGCTTGTCGGTCGCTTTTGACTCATCATCTTTGACGTCCGTTTTTCACTTGTTTAACCGGAACCACCTTTCCAACTCAGCTCTTCTCTCTTCCTTTTCAGCCGGAACTCGAGCTCCGCACTTGACTCAGACTTAACTTGTCTGGTTCCTACGATGCCCGGAAAGCTCAAACGTTTAGCGTTCTACTATTCAATCAGGTTTCGTCCATTAAATCAAAGTTCAGATTTTTTCCAGAGGCTCTGGACGCCGCTGTTCTGCGTACTTAGGACAAACCCAGATTCATGAGATCATTTTACAAAGTGGAAACCGGAAAGTAGGCTTAGACATCGGTTGTTATTGGTCCACTTGTGCAAGGCCAGCTGTCGGTTTGAGAGTCCAGCAACAGACAAGGCAGTGGTACTTCCTTTACTTTTCTCCATGCCTCTCACAGGTCTACTCCATGATTTAATCGACTCGGTATTAGAGGCATAATTCTCAAAATTAAGGAATTTCAGTGCATAGCTCCCTAATGCAACTGATTGAGCAGAAATTGTTTCTGATAATGGAACAAAACTGACCGAACCCTCTTTAATTGCTCCACTAGGGTTGGCAGGGTTATGCGTGATGTAATTTAATAGCTTGGGATTCCAACGAAGAGAAAGATTCGATGCTGCAATGATTGAATACATGATGCTAATGTCGGAAGCAGCGTTGACGATTTTTTACTCGGAGGATGGCGAGATTTTCACATCTAATTTTGACCGATTTTGTTTCGTTGCCTCGACTTCCATTGGTGACCGGTCTGCATGGAGCCGGCATTAGTTACAGAGATCGGATATGATTAAGGACGTATCTGGGACCCATGGATATGCGTCGCTCCAGCTGTACAGGTGTGCCGGGGTTGTGCTTACTCTTGAGCAATGTCTCGGGCCTCCACCTTCTCTGGATGCGACTTCTGTTCAGCAGTGGAGGCTCATCACGTGAAGAGGAAATTGGTCGCTGACTAGATTGTTCACGTTATCATTGCGATCATGAGAAGACGCGGCTCCGCTTATTTTGGTAAGTAGAGTTGGAGATTCGCGCGGACAAGATGTCAAATAGAATGTACCCACGACTAGAGTTAGCTTCAAGATGTAAGTGAAGGACCTTCACTTACTAAATGAGCTTCACTGAAGCTCATTTAGCAAGCAGCGCATTTTGCTTTTAGTGGGACTTTACTACCTTCTTTCAAGTTGTATGTCATGTTACATTGAGGAGGAGAGCATAGTCTAGTGTTTGCACCTCGCCTACTTGTCTTGAGGCCATGGTGTTTTCAATTAGACTCCGCGCTAAACTAACCATTCTTGATACGACTAAATTAAGTTAATTTAGGTAATTCAAGCAAGTGCCTTATAAAAACATGCATTTATATGTCTAGTTTAATTTTGATAAAAAGAAATTACATGTTAATCATCAGTTGTTACTCAAAAAATTATAAAAATATAAAAATAAAGATAATTATCTTTCAAGTATATTTAAAATAGAATTTGTTTGGGTTTTTGTTTCATCAATGAAATTTTTTTTTTATGAAATGCGTTTGAATATATTTGAAAGTTTATATTGACTAATGTCTCAACTGATTGTGATGTAATGTTTTTGACTATGGTAAATAGTTAAAAATAATATCATTTCTTTTAGATTCATGATAAGCTAGACGAAAAATGTCTTAAATGAAATTAAGTGATAATCAACTTGAAGTTTGCACCACAAACAGTAACAAAAAATAGTTGAACATTAGTGAAAATTGTGACATGGTCATTTGACCATCAAATGCAAGTTTTTGATGAACATATTAAATACATGTGCTTTTGAAGTTTAAGCAAAACGGATTTGTTTTTCAGCGAGGACAAGAAAAACAATAAAAATTTTCAATTTTGACTTCAAACTCAATGCTTTTGACAACAAGAAACAATTCTCAATGTTTTGCAATATAAGGAAGCGGCCATAAACTACGAGGGAGTAGGCAAGTACATAGTCAAATATAAGAGATGTTATGATTATGTGCTCTGAAATTGACAAATCAAAGAAAATCTAAAGGCTTTGGTCCTTGGCAAGACGTTGCGGCTTATATCCTCCATTACAACAACAACTCACAAAATCTATAGATACAAGTTGTGAATATTCTTAAGCTACATTTGCAACTTTGGTTACAACACAAGTGGATGAGTACAATGATTGTATTTAATTATTGAGACATTTGGGCAGCAAATCTAACGCAAACGGTTGTTAAACAAATTGTATGTCTATTTGAAGTTAATGAACTTCAAGATGAAAGAGTTTGGCACAAAGATCCAAGATCACATTGATATCTTTGATGATTTTTTTTATTGATCTTTAGAATCTTAAAAAGTAGATAAATAATGGAAGAAAAATCTTTCACATTTTAAACTCATTAACTGCATCTTATCATTCATTATCACATGCATTTCCATATCATGATATGCGTACAATAATTTTCGATAAATTTGTAGTTTTGTTGTTGATTAATTATTCACATCAGAGGATGAGATACTTATTATTTCACCTTCTTCTTCAAATAGTGACGCATTAAATAATACTTGAGTTCAAACATATTCACAAATTGACAAAGATAGTAAACGTTTTAAATTTGGAGATAAATTCAAGTTTAGAGATAAAACTTTAGGAAAAAATGATAATTTGTTAAAATAAATATGGCAAAAGTGTACACATCAAAACAATAACTATTAATACTCTTTTAAAACATGAATGATAATATCATCAGTATACGCTTTTTTCAACTTAAATTAAATTTTGGTAATATATGAATGTAAAAGGTGATTAAATTTATCACATTTGTTACAGTAAAGAGTTTTTTTGTATTATTTATATCAAATGATTCCAATTTTATGAGTATTGATTAATCATGTAAGATTGAAATTATTTAATTTATCAAAACTTAAATATTCGATAATATTCAACATAAATTTATTTAACTCAAATTTATATCTAATATAAGAAAAAATCTTCTATAATATTAGATTCAATCCATTGTGAATGGAGGTATAGAATGAAAGTGCTTGAGAATACGTGAGAAGAATATGTTAAGAGAACATAAGCACCACAATATATACATGCAAGAAATCAAAATCATTTCTGATGACGTCAACTTTATTAAATCTTAAGTTGAGCTGGTTAATGTATGTCATTTTAGTTTATGATATACATAAACTATGACACACAAGTGTGATTTAATTGACACTTCTGAATATAAAAACTCATTATAGTATTTAACATAAGTAAAATTGATTTAAAGTTTTGTGAATATTGTGTTATGATCAAACATTAAAAAAAAATTAATATTGGAAGTCAAAAATTTAAGTAACTACTTAAATTGATACATAATAATATGTAAAAAACCTCTCCAAAAGTCTCAATCTTTTGAAATAGTAAATTTTTTTTAATGATAATGAATCAATTAGTATGTTAATTAAGAGCAATATATCAATCTGTGTGATTGTTAGATTATTTATTATATCATCAATTCACTATTAGTGGAATTGATGAAAAGATAAAGATGTTGTATTTGTTAATTTGATTCAATACAAAGAAAAGTATTGAATCAAATTAACAATTTGATTCAATATGTCTTTTATCTTCATAGTTGTTTTTTATCTTTCAATGAACTACTCAATTGATATCTAGTGCTACAATTATATATAATGATATGACACAAAGAGAAACTTTTGTAAAGATGTAGCAAACTTTTTGAAAAATAATGAAGTAGATTTACAAATACAAGAAGTGTATTAAGTATTATAATATATTGTTTGATCATTTATTTGACAATTCTAGATCTTTTCTAGACTACGTTGATGATGACAATGCAAAAGATCTGGACAAAAGGAGATGTATCACATTATATATGTTAATTCTTGGCATTTGTTAGAGATCTACTTTGCACAAGTGCATAGTTTGATCTACAATATATGTATTATGTTTTGATGATAGATGATAGCATTTGTTAGAGATCTACTTTCCACAGTTGCATAGTTTAATTCACAACGTAACCTAAATATGTACTGGCAGCAGAAGCAACAATATAAACTATTTGGTTGATAAGTTAATCAATTTGTTGAAATTGAAAATCAATGTTGTCAATCTTCATTGTAATAGACTGAATGCACGACATTTTGCTGCAAACCAAATTATGAAGAGTAGTGTGAAATACATTGACATCAAATAATATTTTATCATAAATGAAGTTTCTGATTAAAAAAAAGAGCTAATAAAAAATGAATTTAATCTTATGCTAACCAAAGTTATCTCTTTGGAAATTTTTATAAAACATTGTGGCTCTATGCAATTTTGCATGAGAAGCATAAGTAGAGCTTACAAGCAATTTTTGCTAGCTACATGTATTATACTCTATATTGTTTTGATTATGATTTACTTTTAATTAATATATTTAAAATAAATCTATATTGGATTTCTTTTCTACAACATTTTGCAAACTAATGTTATGGTTTATGGAGATTAATATTCTCACGATATGAATTAAGGAAGAGTTTGTTAATATTAATTCATTTTTGTTTGATTTTAGATAGTTAAATCATAGTGAAGATTTGTGTTATGTTGTCATCATAAATTATAGCTAGCAAAATTTTTTATTATTAATTTTAGATTTTCATTATTAAAGCATTTTTGAGCTTTTAAACTCAGTTTACAATGACAAATCACATACTTCTGCGTTGACGTTTTCATGTATGCTTGTGTTGACTTGTCAACAATCTTTGTGTATGCTCATGTATTGTATTTTTTTTTCCATGATTCAACACAACTAGTTGTAGAAA